GGGTGGCCTTTGTTCTCCCTTGCCGCAGGCCAGGCTGGAACCGCACCATAGCACCGCTGACTGTCCCTCTTCACTGGCGCATGCGCCCTACGGCAAAACCCTAACAACCCCAAAACCACCCTGGGACTCACCGCTGGGGCGTCAGTGCCATCAGTTCAGACACCCATGACCCATTGCTGCGCAGGCAAACCGCAATGTCCCGAAACTTGGGGGCTCTCCACGCAAGTCCTGCACATCTCCCGGCCTTGAAAACACCCAAAAATGAACACTCATGTTCGTTAATGAGTTGTAAAGCTAAAAACTCTTCTGAACCTCCATCATAAAAACAACAAAAAAGGTGGGGCCAGCAGATGGCGTGGTGGTTAGGGTGCTGGACTCCCACATGGCCGACGGTGGTCAGAGTCCCGACCAGGCAACCTGGGCGTGTGTGCGTGCGTGCCCAAGATCCTGGGAAGAGAATGGAGGAGAAGGGATTGCGGCGTGGCCATCCCCCCGGGGTGATTTCTCTCTTCCCTCTCACTGTCTTTGTCTCTGTCTCTTCTTGGCAAGTGCACATACATACCTAAAGGCAATTTTCAAAACCTCTTAAAATGAATGCCCCTCCTCTTTCTTTTTCACCCAAGGTCCACCCAAAACAGAAGCTTAGACGAGCACTGAGCACCGTGAGCAGCCCGAGGAGGCCCATGCTCTGTGTCAGCCCGGGCATGGAGCGTCCTGGGTGTGAGGTTTGTCACAAAGGCCCGTGTGGACTCCCTGCGCATGCTGCAATCCGCTGTGCTTCCCATGAGGGGAGGACACGGCCCAGCACGCTTATGGTGACAAGTTACTAAAAAGTCCCTGAGTTGTACTTGAAGTGGGCAAATCTGTACTCAGTAGTTTCTGAAATCTGCCACGTAACGGTCTTTCGGCGTGGGAGCCGTCCACGTACCACATGGAGCACGCCGGCTGAAAGGCACTGCCAGGACGGGGAGCCGGCTGGCCACGCCGTGTACCTCCTCGCCAGCTCGTGGCCCAGGCCCAGCGTTCCGACGCCTTTGGCGCTCCGAGCACTCGGAGGGGACGGTGAGACCGCAGCTGAGTGTGGCCCCCCACCCCGCAGAACTGGCTTTGACCTGGGCGCTGAGCCAGCCATAGCAGCTCCAGCTCCGCCACCAGTGGACCCCAGATGTGCTGGCAGGGACGAAGAGGGGGCCGCGCTCTCTCACAGCCCTCAGACTCACCTCACTGAGGAGACTCGAGACTGAATGCTTCTGACACCGAGCCCCCGAGGGACTACTGAACTGTGCGGAGCCGGGATTGTGCGGCCGCCACGGTGCCAAGTGGTCTGGCCGGCAGCCTTCCCGCCGTGAACGGAGCTGGGCACGGCTGGGCAGGGCTGGGCACGGTGGCGTGGAGTGTCTGTGTGCAGGGAGTGGCCTCACTGTCCTAGGGACCTGCCTCCCCTCGGCTGCGGCTCCTCCTGGTCGGTCCTTCCGGCAGAAAGCCATGTGGACATGTTCCCCGAAACGAGCTGCCCAGCACCTGGACCTTCTGGTCCGCTGGGGAGGACGTGGCAGGTATGTTCACCGGGCTGGGAACGTAAGTAGGGGACCAAGGACTGTGGTCAGTGGGCCTGGGACAACTTCCACTGGGTCCCCTGGGCACCCGGTCAGGAAGGACGTCCGGAGGTGCTGGTGGCGGCGGGACTGCCGGGTCAGAGAGAAGTGGGCAGGAGTCCTTCAATGGCCAGCCCTCTGCTCGCCTGTAGGGAGTGTGAAAGAGTACGTTAGAACAGACAGTAAAGGGACAATGACCAGCAGTTAGCATGACGGTTACGCCGCTGGGCTCCCACGTAGTCAACTGTGGTTGCATCCCAGACTTAGAGGCTTAAAACTCACGCCAGGCACATGCGTGTGCGTGCCCACGATCCCGAAAGGAGAACGGAGAAGAGATTGGGGCGTGGCCATCCCCCCTGGAGGTGATCTCTTGCTTTCTGTCTCTCTGGCGAGGGCACATGTCCTATAGCAAAAATCTCTCTCACACACACAAAGACCGTTCAATGTAAACGTTATATTCATATTCCAAAAAGTCAGTTCTCAAGTTTTCGCTGAAATAGCTGCATATAATAACCTGGGAAGACCGGTAACAACACGGGAAGCTATCTGTCACCATCCCGGTCTCCCAGTTGGGGACTCCCTGCCCACTCCTGGCGGACACCCACTTCACGAAGCAGAAGCTCCCACCCACCACAGGAGGCGAGGTGGTCCCGTGCCCGCCAGTCCTGCTGCCAAGATGCGGCTCGTGGTCCCAGCTCTGCCACGCAGAGGCACCTGCCCAGTCCCTGAGCAGACTCCAGGAAGCCTGGGTGGCCCCGGCTCTTCTAGTCCAGAGAAGCAGCTGCCGCCTCTGCCTGCCCCGTAGAGGCTGGGCGAGCTGTGAGTGCGGCAGAATGGCACACTTCTGGCAGGGACAGAGGAGCGGGCATCTGGCTTGGGATTTCATGGTAAACCCTCGTGTTTCTGAGGTAGGAGCTCTCATGTCTTCTGCCAATTTCCGCATTAAATCTAATGGCTGGAGCTGCAGCAGCCATCCCATAACCATGAGGACACAGGTCTAAGGTTAAAGCCAATAGGCTAAGGGTGAGAAAGGAAGAGAAAGAGCCAGGGTGCTGGCCTTCAGACAGTCCCACCAAGGCCTGCAGTCGCGCACGCCCAGACATGGAGGAAACACTCACGTTAGCCAGCTGTTAGCCGACCTGTCGCTCACAGCCACCTCCGCTCCTACCCAGGGTCCAGTCTTGGTACTGTGTGACGCAAACACCACATCGGGGCCAGAGGCAGGGCAATGACAACCAGGTGTGGCCCCAGCTCTGCAGCACTGCTCTGCACGTCGCCCTCCTCCTCAGCCTCCACACCCCTCCAGCACTCCTGAAGACCTGACAGCTCCATGTCCTTCTTCCCTTTTCTACGTTCTTGCCGTAGGACGCGTGTGCTCGCAGGAGAGGGACGGTGAGACCGATCATCCCGTCTGACCGAGTCAGAGAACAACGACTTTTCAGGTCACGTCAAGACAGCTGGTGGCAGAGATGGCCACCTGCCTGCCACCCAACCTCTGGCACCAGCTGCCCAGTGCAGCAAAGGTCCCACTGAAATGAAGCTTTCAGAGACGACCGCTGTGGGACCAGAACGAAGGGCACCAGTCCAGCTCTGCGGGAGCGTGGCCACCTCTGGCAGGGACTGAGAGGCGCACAGGAAGGCCTAGACCGGCTGGACAGAGCAAGCCATGGCCTGGAGGAAGTCCCTTCCCCGCCGGCTCAGTAGGGGGAGCTGCCCAGCAGCCTGTCCCCCCGCAGGTGCCTCCCCTGTAGGAGTGCCCTCTGGCGCCAGGGCATCCCTGAGGCTAGGACACCCATGCTCCGGAGCAGGACGAGGCCCGCGGGAGTGTGGACGGGAAGCCCAGAGCCCGAGAGGTGTTGGTGCCAGGCAGCCAGTCCTGTGACCCTGCAGGGCCGTGCCCAGGGCGAGCAGTTCCGGGCCCTGGGTCCTGGCTGACGTCTCCTGCTTACACAGCTCCCCACAGGGACGAGGCTTGGAGGTCCTCTTTACTAGGTGCGCCTCTGACTCAGGGGAGGCTGTGATGCCATCTGTCCTGTGCTTGTGACCCAGTGGAGCTAACAGTGCCATCTGTCCACAGCAGTTTGGAGGGTGCACGGCACCTGTGACAAGCCCTGTGACAAGGATCAGTGTGTCAACCATAAGGGTTTTAGAGCAAACATTCATCTTCTCTGTAAAATAAATTTCTTTCTTTATTTTTTGTAAAAAAAAAAAAAAAAGACAGGGCCAGCAGGTGTCATGGTGGTTAAGGTGCTGGGCTCTCACTTGGCAGACCATGGTTCGAGGCCCAGACCTGGCAGCTTGAAAATCATGCTGGGTGTACGTGTGAGTGCACTTGCCCAAAGTCCTGAGAGGAAAATTGAGACGAGATGGCAGGGGGCTGGGGGGGGGCGTGGGATGGGGGAAGTGTGGGGGTGATTCCTCACTCCCCCTCTCCCTCTCTCTGGAGAGTGCACACACTTCTGGCAAAAACTTAAAAAAAAATAACAACAACAACAACAACAACAAACCCTTTGGTCCCTTTCTTGGTGACCAGATTGCTCGCCTGGCAGTGATCTGCGGCCGGCCAGTTTCTGTGTGCCCAGGACACTGTCCAGGCCAGGTGTCCCAGGACCGGGTGGGGGCCAGCACCAGAGGACAGGGTCTGGGGGTGCACCGACCACCCTAGGGACGGCTGGGCTGGACCTGGGAGGCTGCAGTGAGAGCGACCAAGGTCCCCACGACAGGGCGGCCACGCCGGTCACCCACGCCCGAGCGCCCAAACCTGGCCAGTGTCCTCGGCTTTTCTGGGTCCGGAAGTCAACCCCAGCCTCAGGCAACCACCTAGTGGAGATTTTTAAACAAAAAAGAGAAGCTGCAAAGTGTTTTTGGTTTTGATTTTGATTTTAAGAAGAATTAACTCCTGCATAACAAGTTCCCACCAGCAGAAAGCAAGAGGTGGCCACGGATGGGCGGGCCGGGGGTGGGTGCACCAGGCCCGGGGCCAGTCGGCC